GTGTGTGTGTGTGTGTGTGTGTGTGTGTGTGTGTGCAAACCAGTGTCTAACTGCAGACTCCTATGGGGAGATAAGGAGGTCTACAAGTGAAACTAGGAGACGAGCAAGAAGGAGTTAGTTCAAGATAGAAAGAGGGATGGAGGGATGAAGGGCAAAGGAAGGGTAAGGAAGGAGGGAGAGGAAAGAAGGGGAAGAGGGTGAGATTCCTTGAAATAATGAACATGAGGACGAGTAGACGGGAGAAGAGTGAGGAACCTTGTTTTCACGGATAAGCACATGTGAAAGCTGTCAGATCAAAGGCTCCTCATCACCCCGGAGTCCACCTTTTTGGGGATCGTATGTCCACTTGGACCACTGGGACGTTCAAACTGTGATGAAGTGTGAGCGAAAGCGCCTTTTGGACTCTCCGGGATCCCCAAGACACTGGACCATAGGTCAAGAGATAATACTTGATGTTGATACATTATGACGTCTAATTTAATCTGTGGATGTGCTTATTTGTATAACCTCTAAGTAAACCAAGCGTTACAGAAGTGTCCCATGTGAAAACCAGCAAGAACTCAGAGCTCTTATTGCTTTTTCTTTTTAACTTTTCTGCATTGCAATTACTTGTCATGGACAGTTTGCTATTCAGGTATGAAAATAGTGTTGTTAGCATCATATGGGCTCCCTCATCAAAAAGTAATGGGAATTTTCCATTGGATAATCTCCACATATTAACAACACTAGGATTTTTGGAGTGTAAATGCAATTGGCAGAAGTTAAAAGCTAACGTTATATGCTATAAACAAACTACCTGACAGTCACATGACTTCAAGAACACCACCAATAAGCTACAAGCGGCTAATGTTCGGCTTGATGATGCTAAGTAGTCTCTTTTAGACTCTTAGACTGCTGTTGTTAAAGTCACCAGTGGGGTAATTACTCACATATTTTATGTTATCGAACAAAACGTTAAAATCTCTTTTGCTTGACCACAGACCTTAGTTTTGGCATCTCACCACAAACACATTAAAAAAACATCGACTTTGAGGCACGGAAACAGGAAGTCATCATTTCAAACTCAATTCTGGGTCTTAGGGCTCATTCCTTGTTTTTTGATCCACCCAACTTTTAATTTGCTAAAGTATGGAGTTCCACTTTTAAGTTATGACTAGCAAGTTCTTTAAGATGAAGCTTTTGTCTTTCTTCATCTGTCCAATAACGTTGAGTATTGCCACTAAAAAACAATGAATCAGTTACTTCATTATTCGATCAATTAGCCCATGTCTAGGAGCATCAGTCTCTTTCTCCCTAACGCAATGTATGTAGAATATAATTTAATGTCGGTCATTTTTGCCATTGGTCAACATTTCGACTGACTTTTCTGAAATGTGTGTTTGTGTGTGTGATGGAGAGAGTCAAAAGGAAAGCGGCCTCAAATTAAACCAAAACACGAGCGATGTAATGCTTTAGAAATGTTGTCAGAGGTTCAGCTAATGATTAGCAAAAACACTTCTACGCTCATCTGAAGCTTGTCTTGGATTTGATGTGAGGATTTAACTACAAAAGACCAACCGACAGACCAGTTAAAAGAGCAGTCCTCAAATAAGCTGCCTTAACAAATTGCCAGATGTATTACACATCTAAAATGAACTGAACTAGAAATGGAGCTCAGATGGTGTTATTGGAAATGATAGAGAATTAAAGCCAAGAGGGAGGGACTATAGTCGAGAAGGATTAAAGTCAATAAACAGCATCAGTGTGAAATTATGGTTCTCATCATCTTCACAACGACTTAGAATAGTGTTTTTGATTTATGTCGAGTAACAGTCGCAGTCAGACATGAGATTTTTTAGATTGGATTCCTTTATTGTCACTACACAGAGTAGAGCGAATTTCCAAGCATTCTCAATGGTGCAATCACACATAACAGACAGTAGGCTATAAGTATCATTTTGACAATACATGCTAAAACTTTTCATATAGTGGTGACCACTGTATTACAGAATTCAATCTAGGAACTACATGCCCCTAGAGGTATGGTTCCGCACGGACACATTTGTTGACGGTACCTCCTGTGTATATACTGTGTCCTCCTCCCTTTCTCTCTCTCTTGTCTTCCCGGGCTGCGACCCGACAACATGCCCTTTTCTGCTCTTGAATAAAGACAACTTTGAACCTTCAATGCACCGCCTCCGACTCCTACCTCTCGGCACTACAATACTCTATATAAAGTGACTATAAATTGGACCTATGATACATTGAACAGTACGCTTTCAAAACAATACAACATTGCCATACAAATACAAGAACAGAAGGCAGTAAGTAAGTTATTGTACATGTATTTATCGGTGCAGTTGATAATTAGATTCAAGATTCAAGATATGTATGTTCATATGCACACAGTAAACAGACCTTACTTTGCTAGTCCACCCTGCGCAAGTAAAATACAGGAATTTAAAAATAAACAAATAAGTTTGGCACACGGCAACAGCAGCATAAAAGGGCACATAAGTAGCAGCAGTTTAAAAGATATTTAAATAGTAGATAAATAGTTGTATCGCACATGGTTCACAGTATAAAATATTGCACGGCAGACAACAAGTGCACTATGCATTGTTAAAGTAGGTACCTGTAGCAGTGCCAGTGCAAATGGTGAGTGTCAGTGTGTCTGTGTAGCACTCACAGTTCAACCAGTGTGTGTGTTTGTGAGGGGGGCCGGGGTCATACAGGGCTGATGGTCTGTGGGTAGAAAGCTGGTTTGCCCAGTCTCGTGGTCCCTGGATTTTAAAGGCTGCTGCCTGAGATGTACTGTTGCAGGTTTCTATGCAGCACGCATGGAGTGCCTTCCTGTCCTGAGCAGTGCATTTTCCATACGCAGACCTGTGATGGACTGGTAAGAGACTAGGGTCTAGCCAGAAACTGAGCCATGATCAAAATCGATTATTCGGGCAGGGCGCATGGCCGAATAATAGATCGATTTATTCAGAACGACCCCTCCCCACGGGCAGGAAAGAAACAGTAAAAGCAAACCCATGGTGGTGTGACCTATGTCCAATTTTACTATTATTAATACTATTACTATTATTAGGCATTCATCTATATTTTGGTTTGAAAACTGAATGCCAGAAAAAAACCATAAAATACTAATCAAAAAAAATATATTAGTAAAAATCATTTTAAAAATAATATCGATTATGAGAACTGTAACGACATATTCGAATAAATCACTGGCATCCCTAGTAAGGACGCTCTCCTAACTGGTAGCATCTGTAGAAGTTGCTGAGTATTTTGGATGGGCATGCCAGCATTTTCTCAGGCCTCCTTAGGAAAGTACAAGACACAATCTCAGGGACATAAGTTTTATATAAGTTCCAGTTATAATGCATTAGGAGAGAACCCAGTGAAGAAAATGATGTGGGTTCGAGAAAGGAATTTAAAGGTTTTCAGCGCCCTGTCCAGCCTCCATCCCTCCCCTAGTCGGTTGTCTGCTGCAACCCTCTTCCTCCCATGGGTTGATCAATAAATCATGCCCCTTGGTCTGTGTCTGGGGCACTTCAGGGGAGAGGTTTCGTGGCTGACACCCAGGTCACCGGTCCGCCACCCCTCTCTTCTGTACGCCTGCCTCCAGCCCACCGGTGATCAGTCCATTCAGGTCGTATCATCTGGATCATCTGGCGACTGTGACCAACGACAAGGTGTTGCTCTGGGAGCCAGCACAGTCGTATTGTGAAGAGGGTGTTAGCAGCAGGGGACTCAGCACGCAGCCCTGGGGGGTCCCTGTGCTTACGCAGTTTTAGTGGCCTGACGTGCGGTTGGCCAACTCTGACTGACTGGGGTCTGTATGCAGAAAGTTCAGCACACACACCCAGTTCAGCAGAGAGCAGGTTGTCAAGTCCGAGAGTGAGGAGCTTAGCAGAGAGTTTGTGTGGGATGACCGGTGTTAAAGGCTGAGCCTGTAGTCAGTGAAGATGGAGTGCTTGCATTTGTATCGCTTTGCCCTCTAACGGCGTCCACCACCAGCGGCCAGTGGCGTTGTCGGGCTTGCCGCGGGCATGGCCTGAAGGGCTAGAGCCAACAACGCAATGCACCTGATCTCCCCCCCGGCACGCGGAGAGCAAGCAGCGGTTTTGATTGGCTGACGCCTCTCCGTCGAAAGCTTCAAAGTTGAACATCTGGCTTCAACTTTTGCAGCGAAGCAACGCAAACGCAACGCAAGCAACGCAAGCAACGCAACGCAACGCAACCGCAAGCAACGCAAACAACGCAAACGGCAAGCAACGCAAACGCAAGCAACGCAGCAACGCCAGCAACGCAAGCAACGGCAAGCAACGCAAAGGCGAAGCAACCGCAAGCAACGCAAACGCAAGCAACGCAAACCACACACAACGGCAAGCAACGCAAGCAACGGGCACGCCAATACGCAAGCAACGCAAACGCAAGCAACGCAAGCAACGCAAGCAACGCAAGGACGCAAGCAACGCTTACGCTTCGGCTCCGCAAAGTGAATGGGCGGAAGCGGTTTGAAGCTTTAAACGAAACCGCCGCTTGTTGTGGATGGGCCGTAAGTGTTGAGCGGTGGTGGTGGGAT